TCGGTTTAGCTCGATGTGTCATTGCAAACTAAGCCACACACCCAAACTAAGATCCTTAATTTTGTTTTATCTCTCATTTACGTCGCAACTTAGAATTAGGTTTTAAATAATAGCTTTTACCTCTATGAAGTTAATTAAATTTAAATAAAAGCTTCTGAAGTTTGCATATAATTAAAGATCCTTTAAAAAAACCTGGATCGTTTTTTCGAACCACTAATTTAATTTAATTATAAATTGTGGATATTTCTTCATTTAATTGGTTTGTTGCATGATTATTGAAACAACAACTTTAAAATAAAATGATCTTTTTCATCACCTTTTTTTTTTTTGGAATAAAATATCTTCAATTTTAATTTACAAATTGATAACAGTCGCTGCGAGCTAGGTCCAGAGTAAACGGTGATTTTACCTTTTACCAATACAATAAAGAAAGATCATGTATCTCTATTAAATCAGCTATCCTAGCCTGATTTTTGAGTGGATTGATTATACATGATCCATGTGTTTTCTCTTGTCGCAAACCAGATTAGAATTTATTTTTATTGCGCTAGAGCAGCACTAAGCAGTAATGTGGGGAATAACAAATATTTTATTTTATTCAGATACCTGTATTCAGATACCTTTAAGGTATCAGCTAACTTGAGAGACTTCACTTTAAGTTCATTTCCAATGATTTCATCGTTGTAAACATTTTTGCATGTCTGTTTTCAAGATTCTGTAACTAAAATGCGATATATTTCGTATCATGTACCATGGCACTCCCAATTAGAACATATTTGGGTTGTCAAGATTCTATTCATCCTTCGTGAAAAATTGTTGCAAAGAAATAAATCCTCACTTTCGCATATTTTTTTTTTGAATAAATATAAAAATTAATTTCATCTTCACATTTTCCTAGATTTTAGTACATAGAAACACACATTTGTGCCACATTTCATCACGAAATGTTGCTTTTTAATTGAGATGATTCCAGTTAAATTGTTTAAAACTCAAAGGCAACTAATTCCCTGTTTGCTAGGAGTTAAACGATTCAATATATATATCTTATATATAAAATTAACATTGTCAAAATGTTAGTTACCGTACTCCTCCGAAACGGCTTTACCGATTTTTACCAAATTTTATATGCGTATTCAGTAGGTCTGAGAATCGGCTACTATCTATTTTTCATACCGCTAAAGTGATTAGGGTGTCCCTATCCAGCAAAAATATCTTTATTGCTTTAACAAAAAATTTTTTATTTTTTTGACATAAATTTTTTTATATTTTTGAAAAAGAAAAATTTTTTCTTAATATTTTATGTAACTACGCCAACAAGTACATCGAGCATTTACATTCACTTCGTTTCTTCGTCTTCGCCTTGCATGGCAGATGGAAAATGTACTAAAAATTTTTCTAAAGATTTCACTAATGATACTATAACAAATACCGACGAATATCCAATATATCGTCGAAGAAATCCCGATAATGGGGGACAATGGCGGGTGGTGCCATATTCGCCTCTGCTAAGCAAGACATACAATGCTCATATAAATGTTGAGTTTTGCAGTTCTGTGAAGAGCATCAAATATATAAGTATGTCCATAAAGGCAGTGATATGGCTGTGTTTAGAGTAGAAAATACTAATGTAAATGCTCCTCCAATGAACAAAAACGGTGAAATTACGTTCTACCAAATTGGTCGGTACATCAGCTCCAATAAAGCTGCTTGGCGTATCTTCGGTTTTCTAATTCATGAACGGGATCCAGCAGCTGTTCAGTTAGCCGTCCATCTTGAAAACGGTCAGCGTGTATTTTTCACGAACGAGACAGTGATTGATCGTGGTACAAATCCACCTAAAACTACACTCACTGCATTTTTTGAATTGTGTAATAGTACGGATGATTTTGGTGCCTTTGCAAGAACATTACTCTATTCACAAGTACCACGCTATTTCACATGGGCTCAAACAAAAAAATGGATGCCCCGCAAGCAAGTTTCACCAGTTGATCCATGTCTCAATTCATTTAAATCGAACGCTTATTTACAGATAATCCAAGACACACTGAGTGCTTTTATCTTCGACTGTTGTTGGTTAATTTTACTGGCCCATTATCATTATTATTATTTACAGTCAATCCAAGACAATTTAAATTTGAAGATACAACAGTTGTTGCCAGGGAACTTGGTATCATACAAATCTATTGATTTTAAATTAATAATTTAATAAATGAACTATAATAACTTAAAAATAATATTGTTTGGCGTTTGTTATTTTTATTGTCCTTTTCGTTCATAGCGCTCCATGCCTATTTCATGCATATACCACATACTTACACACTTATAATAAGTAAGTTACTTTTGTCTACACTAGAATTTATCTAGAAACTAGAAATAATTTATAAGGCAAAACAACGTTTGTCGGGTTATCTAGTATATATATATATATACTGATATTTAATTAATAGAAACTAAAGTGTAAAGACAAAATATGCCACAAATATGGTCATTTCAGGATGAGTGGGGTTCACAAATAATTACAACCTGCAGCATATGCACACAAAAATATCCCAGGATTTTGCTATTGAAAATGTCATTAAATGTTGGCAGTGAGCGAGCAACCTAACTAATAACAAAAACAACAACAATTTCTGTGGTATTCGAAAGTTGATTTTGATATTTACGTAGAGCTACAATAGAGCTCGTAGAGCTAAATACAAAGAGGATATATTTGCATTTGTTTGAAGATCTGTCTCTGGGTGAGTGTGCGAGTGTGCGAGTGTGTGTGTAGCTGCGTGTAGCTGTATGTATGTCAATTATATTAACATAAAGTATTACGAACATAACTCAAACTCTACAAGAGCATGCAAATCTGAAATGATACACAAAACTACACATGAGTGCACACTAATACTGTGTATACACTGGCAACGGGCAACTGGCAATTGGCAACTGGTAACAGTACACAAAAATTACACTAATGTATAATGTGTAATGTGTAATGTGTAACTGTAAACTTGTACAATTATAAACAAATATAATTTTCATATAAGCAGAACAAGCCAGGCGTACTTGTCAAATTTCAACGGCATACACAAGCAAACGCACACACACACAGCCTACATGAAGCCTACATGAAGTAGGCATAAAAACGAGCAGAACACACACCTACACACACACACACACATCTGAGCAGCCATTTTAATCGCTTGACATTTGAATGACAGCTTGTCGGAAACAGAATTTGCTTTTGGTATACTTACATGTCGTGTCAAACACACATCAAGCAAACACAGCTAACGAACACAACACAGTGCATGCCAATGTGCATGTGTTAGTGCGTACCGTACATCCTATACTAGTAATTGTTTAAAGCGTGCAAGTGTATAAGTGTGTAATTATGTGTGTATTCGCTTATAAAAGTGCATTCATCTTAATAATTGAACGCTGATACAAGCAAAGGCACTCACAACACATCAAGTCACGCACGGACGGCCCTTGGCGCTTAGTATAAACATTCTATTTAGCATGGGCTTATGCCTCGCTGCTTTCAGCAGCACTGCAGGATATGTCAATGTATGTGTGATGGCAGTGTATGTGTGATGGTGCGTACTCGCTTAATGCTGTCATAAACTTCAATTGAATTTCTCAGTTAAAATTTTGCACACAAGTGTCAAACTAATAACGTCAAGGCACGCGTCAGTGTAATAAAATGCCCAGATTTTACGAAATTTCAATTATTTAACATAAAATTGCAACAACAAAAAGCCCAACAACAACAAAACTTGACACCAACATCGAACTGAGATTCTTTTGCATTCACTATCCTTGCTGCCATTGTTGCCACTGTTGCTGCTGCTGCTGCTGCTGCGGCTTAAACCCAATTAGATTTAATTAAATTCAAATAATTCAAATGTGTTGTGCTTTGTGGAATTGGGAAAATTGTGAAAATTGTGAAAATTGCGAAAATTGGGAAAATTGGGAAAATTGAGAAAATTGCTTAAATGTGTCGCCGTGTGTAGAGGACTGTGTCCTCTACAATATCCAAAGTTTGTATATACCAGAAATAATATGCTGTGCATAACGTCAAATATTTCATTTTAAATAGTTAAACGGCGTCAAATGACTTTCAGCTATTCGCCGCTGTACAAATAATAGTCCTTGCTGTTAACCACTTGTAAAGGACATTGGCAGCTCCCGAAAAAAATTGCCTCAAAAAAGCGCAACGCTTAACGCCTAACGCTTAAAATTCAGTTTTAATTAAATGCCGAAAATGCCAGAAACTGCTTTTTGATATTTTAATTTGTCGAAAATCGCGTTCCTTTCCGGTACTCGGGCCACTTTGCGCAACTTACAGCACAACACAGCGTATTAGTGTTATTTTAGTGCCTACTTTGCAATCAGTCACATTCAGTCGCATTCAGTCACAGTCATAAAAGGTGTTAAGCCTCATGCAAAAATTTCCAAAAGGCTTTAATGCTTCAAAAACTGCTCAATTGTGAGAAATGCTTTTCAAATCTGGAAAAACAAAAACAAAAGAATTAAAAAAATTTCGAATTTCGAATTTTCGAATTTTCGCCAATCCTTTTTTTGTTGTTTGTTGAGACTTAAATGCACGGCAATTGCTGCAGCGAGTTTTGTATTGTGCGTTTAATGCCAAAAGGTTTATGGATTGAAATGCTTTTATTTTTTTTTTTACTTTTTTCGTTTACTTTTTTCATTTACTCTTTTCTATTTTCTGTTTTTGAAAATACTTTCGTTGTTGTTGCTTTGAAAATTTTGTTCCAAAAGATAAATGTGAAGCCTTATTCCACCTTTTTGAGTTGTTAATGAGTCTTCCATAGTCACCAGCTTTTTCTTTGTTTACTTGACTCACTCACTCCAAATTAGTTGCACACAGTTTTCAATCTATATTTTTCTTATTTTCTTATTTACTACTTTTTCTTTTTCTTTTTGTTTTTTTTTCTTTTTGATAATTACTTCACAAATCAATTTCTTTTTCTTTTCTCACATGACTACAGGTGCCGCCCACTAACCAAACCAAACTTGAGGGCGAAAAGGTGATGTTCTCATGCGAAGCAAAAGCTATGCCTGGTAATGTCACCGTAAGATGGTTTCGAGAGGGTTCTCCAGTGAGGGAAGTTGCCTCGTTGGAGACGCGTGTTACAATACGTAAAGATGGTTCACTCATCATTAATCCGGTGAGCGCCGATGATTCGGGTCAGTACTTGTGTGAGGTTACTAACGGTATTGGAGATCCACAGAGCGCTTCGGCATATTTAAATGTTGAATGTAAGTATAAAGCAAAAATTCATTCGCCACCACATTATTTAAATAATAAATTCAAATAAAAATATTTTTAAAAAAAATAAACAACATTTACACAATTATAAAATCTTATGTTGAGCCATTCCGAGTTAATGCATCTGGGCACTTTTACTCTATGACGGCTGGGGGGTTTCTACAGAGTCCCACCCATCTCACTGACTAATTTGAGTATTCCTCATAATCTTCGTGATTATTCAATGACTGATCTAAGATCTGCGTACCGCCTCGTATGGTTAGTGATTATTCTAAGATTAGATAGTGCTAAGTAGGACAGCCTGTCGGTCTTCGCATATAGCTTCAGAGCTCTGTCCCTTATGTATTTTTTGACTATATTTATTTTAAGGTCTCCTAACATGTCATTCATGTGGATGTACCATAAAACTTAAAAAAAAGAAATATGAAAGAAAAGTAACCAAAAGTTTTATTTTTTCTGGAAGTATTTATTAATGCTTTAAAGTGTTCAAATGTTTCGAATGTCAAGTTGTCCGGATAGAATGAAAATCGAAGATTTGGATTGATTTGATTTAAAATTTTTAAAGAGTGTTCGAGCTGATGAAATACTTCCAAGCTACTCGAGCTATAATAAAACTAGTACACAGAAAAATTGAAAACCCTCACAGAAAGAGTTCAAGTTCAGCTTTGCTGTCTCCTGTTTTACGTCCAAAACACTAGAAAAATTCACGTGACTTTAACTGTCTGACATTCTATTTCATTAGCATTATCTTTTAGTAACAATCAGCACGTTCCCTTTGGTTATGGATATGTTAGGAATCTTTGACCTGACGTAACTTTAAGTATCGTCCATAAACTTGTAATATGAATACCATTCACTCATATTTAAAACTTCAACTTCATCCTAAATTTAAACCAATTTATCGAAAAATCCAACATATCAGCATTGTTAGACAGGCACTGCAGTGGAGTATATAAGATATTGGGTGATCCAGTGCGCCCAGAAAGGATGCAAATTATTCGTAAAAGAACATTGTTACCTATTCTTATACTAAAGCTCTATTTATATTGATAACATAAACCATATGCTTAATCTAAGAGGACAGAATCACATACATACATATGAACGTGCCAGTTGACGGATCCGGAACTCTCCCACTTCTGCACACCTTCTTTATTGGCTGGGTTAAGACAGATTGCCAAATAGTTGAAGCAGATTCGACTCCATAAGCAAGACATAGCATCCACAAGTAAAAAATTCCTGTTCCTTTTTGATCACACCCCATATAACGGAAAAGTTTTATTTACGGTTTTCAAGACAGTTTTAATAGTCAGTTTAAAATTTGCAGTTTTCAAAAGAAAAGGAAAAAAAATGTTTAAAGTTTAATTTTTATTGATTTAATTTCACTTTTACTTGTCTTAAAGCTTTATTTTCTTATTTTTCGTTTTCTGCAGATCCTGCCAAAGTGACCTTTACACCAACTGTGCAGTATTTACCCTTCCGCTTGGCAGGCGTTGTGCAGTGTTATATCAAATCAAACCCGCAACTGCAATACGTAACTTGGACCAGAGACAACCGCCTACTGGAGCCGTACCAAATGAAAGACATCGTTGTCATGGCAAATGGTTCGCTTTTATTTACGCGTGTCAATGAAGATCATCAGGGTCGTTATACATGCACTCCATACAACGCGCAAGGCACGCAAGGTTCATCGGGTATGATGGAGGTACTTGTACGTAAACCCCCTACATTTACAATCGAACCCGAATCGTTGTATCAGCGTAAAGTGGGTGATAGTGTTGAAATGCATTGCGATGCTGTCGAAGCGGAAGGTACACAAAGACCTACAATCAAATGGCAACGACAAGATGGTGCACAGTTAGCCGATTCGCAACGCAATCGCGTCAAGGTATCCGGTGGTAATATAACTATAGAAAACTTGCGTCGTGAAGATTTTGGCTACTATCAGTGCGTTGTGTCAAATGAGGTAGCAACACTAATGTCAGCTACTCAACTTGTCATCGAAGGCACACAACCTCATGCGCCATACAATATAACGGGTAAAGCGACTGAGTCATCTATAACACTGCAATGGATGCCAGGCTATAGTGGAGGATCTGAATACAAGCAGGACTATACAATTTGGTACCGTGAGGCCGGCGTAAATGATTGGCAAACCATTTCTGTCACACCTTCCGGCAGCACACAAGTAACCATAAATGGCTTGGCTTCTGGTACCACTTACGAATTTCAGGTTGTAGGACGCAATGTGCTCGGCGATGGTATGATGAGCAAAATTATGACTGTGCGAACTTTGGGTAAGTTGTTGTTACTTTTCAAATTTATGCACTTTTGAAATAACCAAAATTATTTGTTAACACCCCGCCCCATTGACTAAATTCTCAAAGGCAAACAAAATTATTGGAGAAATTTAAAAACATCTTGATTGCAAAAAGTTAATAATATTTTATATAAAAATAAATAAATTATGGTCCAGTAATTGAATTCCAAATGCAAAAAAAGAAAAAAGTATTATAATATTATATATTTTTGGCTCTTAAAACAAAGACGGATTTAAATTGCAGTTTTTCACGTTGAAAAAATAAAAAAAAAAGTCATAAAGAAAAAGAAAGTCTTAAATTTCTCTTTTAATTTTTGTGCGCCATTTTGTTATTGGCTAATAACATTAACAAACAATATATTTCTTTCTTTTTCTTTCTTTTCTTTTCTCTTCTTTTTTTCGTCTCAACTTTCTAACTACTTCACATTAACATTTTGTGCTAAATTTCTCATCATAATTGTCATCACTGCGCAATGAAAAATACAAAAAAAAAATTACAAAAAAATATAAAAATAATTGAAAAAATTAAAAAAATTAAAAAAATTTTAAAAATTAAAAAAAAAATTGAAACTAAAAATCATTGAAATTTGAATTTTTTTCCTTGGGCAAACCAAAAATTCAAATTCAATAGAAGATGCTCCGGCAGCGCCACGTAATGTCAAGGCTGCAACACAACCTCCAGATCACGTCTTTCAACTAATGCCAGATGAAGCTGGTAAGGATTTTAGTAACGACTAGGATAAGAAATCGAAATTTTTTTTCAAAAAATGTATTTTGTCTTTTATTTTACAACTGGAAATTGGCATTTAGCATTAGTTTTCAGTTTCGGAATTTTGTTTTCTGTTTATGTTTGTACAAAATTAACTTTTAACACTGATATTGATACTAATACTGATACCGATGGTACTGAAACCGATACTGATACTGTTATGTATATAATGAAGAATTTAAAGCTCTTTTAAAAACGTAGCTCGAAAAAACGATAAACTAAACTAGAGAAGAAAATATTTACTACAGTAGCAAATTAGTATGGTGCGAAAATTTCAGAAAGTCTTGTTGTTAAGTTTTATCTGTGAAAGATATGAGTTACAGACAACATTGCACGTTGCTACTTCGGAATGAATTTCTAAATCAACTAATTAAAACCCTTCTCTTCCCCAAATTATTATTTTTTTCTTTTCTTCTTTAGTACCAATTATTTCAAATATTTTTTTTCACTTTGTTAAGATCTTATTTTATAATTTCTTTGACAGATACTATGAGTTTTTCTAACTGCACACCTTAAATGCAATTGTCCCATAATTCCTTTCTCTGAAAACCTATTTCCAAATCCTTTTATTCAAGTCTTAATACAAATATTTTGCATTAAAAGCTCTTAAAGTGCTGTTAAGGTGCTGTTAAGGTGCTGTTAACGTGCTGTTAAGGTGCTGTTAAGGTGCTGTTAAGGTGCTTTTAGTGCTGTTTTTGTGCTATGGAATGCATTACTCCTGAAAATTTAAAGTTGCAGTTTTCTGAAAAAAAAAAACTCAACCATTAAATTTAATACAAATACAAAGTTTAAACCTTAAATTCTGGTAGTAGTGAGAGCCTTAACATACAACTCAAAATTACACAAATTTATTGTAGTTATAAATCGACAAAAATATCTTTTGTTTATTGTGTAAATTCCACAATTTTCGTTAAATTGTCATTTAAAGCTGCGACTGCAGCACATTTTTACTTAACCACTTCCGCCAACAATTCGCTTTGTTACAATGAAAATAAATCTCTTTATCCTGTTTGTTTTAATTTAATCCTTTATTTTCTCATATGTTGTGTGATGCAACCCTGGATTTCGTGTTCCTCTGGCGCTTACGTTACAATAGCAAAACCTCAAAACAAAAACAACACATACCGAATGAAAATAATTTTAATGCCATTTATATATATTATAATTCCCATGTACTATAATTATTCATTTTTGCTCTTTATTTCTTTATTTCTTTATTTGTGTTTTTTTTTTTTGTGTGAGAATAATAATTTATATATTTAACCTTTATTTATATGCATACAGTTTTCTCTTTTCCGTTGTTTATTTTTTTTTAAGGTTTTTTTCGTATCCTTTTTTTTGCATTTTGTGTTAATATCCTTTTTTGTTTTTTTTTTGTGTGATTTTGTTGATTTTTTTAAGTGTTTAAATCGTGCATAAAACGAAAACGTAGCATTTGCATTCCTTTAATTGGCGAGTGCTGCATGTGTGTGCGTGTTTGTGCAATAGAGTGAATTTGCATACGTGCATTTGTGTTGGTGCTTATTATACCTTCGCGTGTATTGGCGTTCGTGTTATCCTTGTATGAGGACATTTAACAGTAAATATGCCCGTTGGTTGCAAATTTCCGTTTAATATGCACAGAAAAAAACTTTTAAAACACAAAAAAAAATTGCATCTGCTTTTTTCTTTTTTTTTTTAATATTAAAAAATAATAGAAAACATAAAAAACTATGTCAAGGCTGGCAATGCCTCATGTACAGTGTGTGTTCATGTGCTGTGCACCGAGGTGCGCTGGCTGCACTGTACAGTGGGCGAGATTGCATTTATAATTTAACGCGCACTTGCGGCAACCCCGAAACTCATTCATTAACACAAATAACACAAATAACACAAATAACACAAACAAGCAGGCAGCACACATTGATATTCACTCTTCATTTTGGCTCGCACACACATTTTTCCTTTTTAATTGCTTTTGCTCGCGTTTTCATTGCATATTTTTCATTATAGATTTTTCTAAAGAACAGTTAAAAGCAGTTCCAAAAATGGCTAGGGGGAGCGAGAGCTTGAAAGTGATCATTTGTGGAATCCGTCTTCATACGCTTTCAAAGTAAAGTTTTCTTTGTTGAGGTCCACAAACAGATTTTGCAGTTAATTGCCAAATTCCTGATATAAATATTCTTTGGTCGATTTTGTCTTTTTATATCAAAAAGTTCCTTTCTAAAGCTTCATTCAGAATCTTAAATTTCTGCTGTTCAAAGAAGATTGGAGAAGACTTCGAAAAAAAATTCATGAATTTATAAGAAAAATTCAAAAAGGTTCTAATTACTTCTGGATGAAATACTCTAAAGTATTCTTTTTTTTCCTCTTAAATTAAAATTCATCATATGAGTTCTTACTTAGTAAAACAGTCTTCTTATTCACACTTCTTAGTGTTTAGTTTAATAAAGTTTAGAAAATAGTGCTCCTCCTTCTTAGCTCCTTGCCGTTCAGATGGGAAGTTCACTTTATTGTTTGCTTAAAAAATAATATTGATATAAATTCTCCCACAGAAATTTTTTTTATTTGTTCACAAAAAAAAAGAATAAATAAATAGTAGTCATGCGAGCACGTATACTACTACGGCTAGGAAAAACTAGAATAAAATCAATAACACATAATATACATATATATGTTATTTATCATAGTTTAATGAATCACCTTTGTCAATGAAAAGTAATTTGAATTCACTTTAAGATAAACTATCTTAATGCCAATATTCATATGCTTATTTCATTTTATCTGTTGAGATAATAATCTAATATGCAATAATCTATAATCAAGTCATATAAACTTTATGATTACATGATGTTTCCTTGTTAAATTGCTAAAAAAACTAAAAGGTTAAGCTTCTATTGATCTAAAAACCAAAAGAATTCTTATAAAACAACAATATACCCACCATTAGTGCTAATAATAATGCTTGAAAACCTTCCATACTCATCTTAATAAATTAGATTTTTTAAGCAAATTATAGGAAACCAAAGTCGACTTCTTTTCTCAACAATTGTTAATCGTCCTATTAATATCTTGGGAGCATTTACTGCGAAAAAAGTTTGTACCTATCATGTACCGTATTATTATAATAGGCCTTTGTTCATTTTTCATGAACTACGTAAAATACACGCATCTGGCATTTCTTTAAATAAGAACTCCTGCCCTGGACTTATGTCAGGTGATTTTCATATCCTTTAGGAATCCGTTTTGTTGGAAATCTGGAAAGATTAAGAGCTTTGGCTTATAAGCTATTCAACTTTTACTAACAAAATATAAACAGATATAAAATATATTAAATAAATCATTTCAGGATTTCAATAATATTAACATTTTCTAATTAAAATTTAAACTGAAAAATCTTAAAATTTAAGTTAAATAGATTCTAGTTAAAATACTCTAAAAAATATTATTTTGTGTGCTAGGTATACTATTTTGTTTCGAAGTAACACCTTACAGTTCTATTGAATAGTGAGGCAACAGCTCTCGCAAAAGAGAGAACTCACTTAGGCTCTAGAATTGTGACTATTCATACGATAGTTTGAGGGATACTAACTGTTCTAAGGAACACAAGTAAAAAACCTTATTACGATCCAAGAAATTACTTTGTCATATTGGTAAAACAAACAATGTCTTTTATAACCACGCTGGTAATATCGGATGAAGATTGGAGTAAAAAACATCCTAGTTTGGGTCGTGTAATGGACAGTGACCGAGTAAATAAATGACATATTCCTCTGATCCACGGACATTACATTTGATATTGTTAAAAGCCCACCTTAAACTGACTTGTCATGCCTACAGAAAGGCAGTGAGGAGGCAAGCAGTACTTTTAAGTTGCTCTGTTCTTTTCTGGTTGTATTAAGTAGTTAGGGTTTGGGGATTAAATAGCACTAGGAGATTGCTTTTATTTTCTTAATATATAGATTAATCAGTTGCTTTCTTCTTTTCTGATTATAGGCAGGGCAATACATGGGAATTTAAATTAAAAAAATTTGATATAAAAATTATTTACTATAGATGATAAGTAATTTTATTTCCATCAATTGACAATCAATTATGACAAAATGAGTTAAAGATTATGCCTCAAAAAAGTAAATTGTATCCTCATTCCATAATCTATAATATTGATGTCCTGATCTGCAAGGTCCTGCAATATTAAAGTCGTAACTTAAATTGTTGCATTCTCGCGTTAATTAAATGCGATGCATTGGTTTACTAGGAACGTTTTGACCCACTTGTCAATGTCACTGGAACCGTTTAACCCCACTGCCGTGACGAGAACAAATGTCTCATGTGTTGTGTTTATTGCGACTAATTTGTAAACAAAAGGAGCCTTGTTTTTTCTTTAACAGCACTTTTTGTTTAAAAATATTATCAGTGTGCATTATATACAGTCTTATCAGAAAAAACAAAAGCTTTTTAGCAATTAAAACACCAAAACCTACTAAAGCATTTCTTCACAGATTCACACTCTTGTAGCTTTAAAAAACACGGATCACAAGGCATACGTTAAGTGCCACACAAAAAATGCAATGTGGTTGGAATGAAGGGTAAGACACAGAAATCCGAGATGTGTACTATGCAGCTTTGTTGAACCGGAGCAATTGAACACAGCAGGAATTAAGTTCAACTAAAACTTAAGTTCAACTAAGACTCCTGTGGTGTCCACTGAAGGAAGTTCATAGTTCAGAGCAAAAATCATATAATAACCACACTAAAGTTTCAACGGTTTTTGTATCCGTAATTGCAAGATAAACCTTAAAGCGAAACGTGATTTGTAATTTAAAGATGCAAACACATTTTGCCCTACAAAAACGTATTCAGGCCAAACATGCTAAATTGCCATGCCTCCAAATTGCCATGCCTGCCGCCTGCCGCCTGCCTATTATTGTATGCAGCCCTTAGCCTTGTCGGTTAAGTGTTGGCCC